AGCCCCCGTACTGCAGACCAGTGTGTCTGAGACACAGCTGTGTCCTCACATACTGTGGGCAGTCCATGAGGTAGTCCAGAATCCACAGGGACATGTGGTGGTCCACTCCAGATAGCTCCAGCTTGTCCCTCAGAAGTCCTGGCTGGATGGTGTTGAAAGCACTGGAGAAATCAAAGAACAGCTGCTAGTTGATCTAATTATCTATAAGCTTTAATGTCAAAAATTGTCATGATTCTTGTTTTTTATGGTGTTTGTTAGTATTTTTCAGACTGTTTTTCATTGTTTGGTATTGTCTTATTTTCTCATTTCCTGTTCAGTTTCCTTATTCCATGTTCCCCTCAGTCAGCTTCTTAGTGTTTTTCCAGCCTGCCACACTGACCTGTCCATAGAAATCACCCAGGTGCTTCCACTCCCCAATCATCCTCTGTAGTATTTAACCAGTGTCTTGTCTTCATTTCCCCGTTGGATCATTGCCTTTCATGCCTTGTGTCTGTCCATGTTAGCGTCTGTATTTTTGATGCCACGTCAGCCTTTTGTCATTCATTAAATCAGTTTTGTTTTGCGTTCAAGTCCTTGTGTCTGCCTGCATTTTGGGTTCCACACAACAAATCTTGACAGTTTTTTTTTACATGATTCATTATTTAACATTTTTGCTGTTTTTGCATTATGGTTTCAGAATTTGTTAACAGAACCTCACTTCCAAACACCCAATCTATCCCTTTAAGAGGCAACATCACTGAGGATTTCATCAAGTTTAGTTTGTATTTCATGGTTCTGTTAAAAAGTTTTAAGAAATAAAATTTGCTGAATATTTCCATATGTTTTGTCCACATTACATATTTTACCACAGGTGATGGTGGTCAAACGTGTGGTTCTCTATATTCTATTCGGTTTACTATAGTTTCCTCCCACTGTCCAGAAACATGCAGGTTAAGTGTATTAACCTAAAATCAGACTCAGTTACACAAGTGGGCCAAAATCTAAAACTTGGTTCAAGTCAGTCAATATTTATACAAAAAAGAATAAAAATCTTGGTTTTAAACATTTTTTAACAAATTATACTTATAGGAATACAAATTACTTTTCCCCAATATTGTTTGTTGTGTTTAAAACATAAGATCAAACTTAGACACAATATTAACATTCATTTCTTGTGCCTTACTTTCAACAATTGTTTTATTCATCATTTCACAGTAATACAAAAATACAATAACTGTCACCAAAAATTCAAAGAGAATACAGAAAAAGAGAAGTGAAGTCAACTCTTTGTTGCTCCAACAAGCATTCTGATCAAGTCAGTCATCCAATTTCTTTCAAGCTCATCAAAAGGTTTGATCAGCCTCATTTCATGTTCTCTGTTGCTCTTTCCACACCAAAATCAAAGATTACTGAAAACATTTAAACTTATTTGTCTTGGCTTTAAAGTTGGCTAACTCTTATGAGAAGACTATGCTCAGAACGATAAGTTTATATATATTTTTTGAACAAAAGGAGAAGTGATGAAGGATTTTACATTTAATTGATCCTCTTTGGGGCCAAATCAAAGTTTAAGGAGGGGCAGATTTGGTCCACAGACCTTGAGTTTGACACGTGTGCTCTGAACTGTCATTAAGWGTGAGTGATTGGTGTCTGGGTCTCTTTAATTGACTGGAGACCTGTCCAGAGTGTCCTCTGTCTCTCTCACACTGCTGGACATGGACAGCAGCTCCCCTCGACCCAAAAAGAAAAAAAACAAACAAAAAAAACAAAAAAAACAAAAGGAGGCGAGGAAAAACAATGGCTGGATGGATAGTTTCATTTGCAAAATATCCAACTCATGAAGCTTCCTTTAAAAGCTCTGCTTGCTCAGTTGGGAAATGATTGCAAATCTCTAAACTTGTAATTTCAAATATTAATTTTCACTCAGCGGGATCTTAATTTGTTAAAACAAAAACCATCACAAACCAAAAACAACTTCCCATTAACCTCGRCATTCATAAACTGCTGAATTCAGTCATCAAAGCGGCTCAAGTGTTTCTGCTGCTGAACTAAAAGGTTCCGTCTCCAGAGGCTCCAGGTAAATAATTCATTATATTTTTAGATTTTCTTTTCCCCTTTTTATTGTGAACACATCCTGTTCACATGACTGTTGCATGCTGCTCTTTCATGTGCAGTCAAAGGGGACAGAAGACTACATCCAAAACAAGCTGCAGGTTCAAGCTGAGTGCAGCTCTGCTCTTTTTAAAGAGTGAYTGGCTTTAATACGGCAGGAAATATGAGCTGCAGACTCATAATAGAGGCGGTCTTTATGAATGAACAAATAGACTCCTTCCATAGTGGCTGCTGTGTTTTGATTATGGTTCGAGCCAAACTGTATTTTATTCAAATCTACCAGGAGGAGCTCGGAGGCGGGAGTTATTTGCTTGATGTTGCGTCTGAAAGCAAAGTGCAATCTGCACGGCTCCCACTGAGCAGAATGAAAGACGAGGGAGGAAAGACAAGTGTCATGTTTGCTCAGATTAATTGAATAAGTAGGAATTGGGATTCATTTGGAAAGCATTAAGAAAGCAGACATTAATAGCTGTGAATTGGTTGGGTAATTGCTCATTAGCTTTCATTTTCAGTCAGTTCRCTGCTTGTGTCAAACGGAGTGAAAAGCCTGGTTTTACTCAGAGGATGTCTCCTGTCAGACACTTTGTTTGACACTCTGGGTCTCTCTGACACTCTGTGTCACAAAGAAGCATTTTCAATTTAAAATGCTAAACAAGAGTTTGTCTCGTCTCTTTATGAGCGGAGCTCCGACGATCATATTCAGTCACAGAACCTGAAGAAGCAAAACAAGTGAGGCGAATAATTCCTTATGTCATGTCAGAGCTAAATGACCTGCTCTGTTTTAATGAAGCCTGCTGTATTTTAGGTGTGTCACATTTTATTTGATCATTATAAAGTAATTATTTTTGCTGAAGCAGCAGAAATGACAGCGTTCTTCTGTCATGTTTCTAAGTCTATTCTTTTGGGAACAGAGCTTTGGATAAATCACTTAAATAGTCTAATATTCATTAGATTGTTTGTACAAAATTATTTGATTTATGATGTATGTATTCAATCCCTCTGCTTTGAAACCTTAATTATTATCTTCAGAAGCCACATCATTTGTAAAATTCTTAAAATTGGACTAAAATTCTGACTTTTTTTTTTTGAAAAATAATTATTTCTGCGCCTGTAAGACGTCAATAACTGAAATGAACTCATACTTCACCCTCCTGCTGCCCTTGGCTCAAAATTGTTTTTGAGCCGATGGCAACAGCAGGGTTCAGGAAATATTCGAACAGTTTTGTTGTGATWTATTGTTCAACTCCTAAACAGACACAAAATGATAATAGCAGTTTTTGTGCAGATTAATACAAGGTTTATTCATATTTATRAGCTTGTTTCATTATGACACGTGAGTAAATAAAGTAATAAACCTCTGAACAGAGAATTCACACCTCAACATTCTCTCATTTTATTGCTGGATCTTGTAATTTATACAACATAACAACCACTTTAATGATGCATAATACGTTTTTTTTTATAGTGGAACAAATAAGAAATAAAATGCATCATTTATCTTTGTCAAAGTCAGCATTTTGTACAGAACTTTTGAATTGAGGTCTGAGTTTTGATTGGATCATTTCAGGACATGTACAGTTTGCGTCGGTGTGTTTTGGCTCATTGTCCTGCTTCAAGGTGAACCTCTGTACTTTGTTCCATCTGTCTTTCCTTTAGTTCTGACCAGTTTTCACATCTCTGCAGATGAGAATCAGCTCCACAGCATGACACCGCCACCACCGTGCTTCACTGTGGGGATGATGTTCTCAGCGTGATGAGAGGTGTTGGGATTGTGTCTGACACGGTGCCCTGAACAGATCGTTGGATTGGACCAAGTATGTCAAAAATTTCCACTTTGACATAACTTGCTTGAGCAAATCCAACACATCCGGTGGATTATTTCCTCCACAGGATGTTCATCTGTTTTTCTGACTTGTGTGGAGAGTTCTTTGGTCTCAATGTTGAGGTGGTTCTTCCTGCTGCTGCTGCTGCTGCTGTCTCAGGGCAATGAGAACAGACTGCCCACGGGTGGATCTTACATAACAAATTATGTGGCTTTTGAAGACAATAATTAGAGCTTCAAAGCAAAGGGGTTGACTGCACACATCATTTTTTTTTCAGTTTTATATTTTACGAGTTATTGAGGACATTGTGTCACGGTTGTATTAGTAGTGGAACCCAAAATGCAGGCGTAAGAGGATCGAAAGGTTCACAAAAAAGTAAAACGAGAGGCGCTGACATGGCAGCCAAAACTCTACTCACAAAAAACCCTGGAACTCAGAGGATCAAACATGAGAGAACGCAGTGAAGACATGACAACACGCTGACCTGCAAACCCCACACAGAGACGAGACTATAAAGAGACATGAACAGGGGAGAAAYGACAAACACTTGTCAAATAGGAAGACAGACTGAAAGCACAGACACCCCCAAACCCCCGCAAAAAAACCCAACTTTTTACAGCTGAGTCTATACTCATATTTACACAGCATCTCTATGTAATACAATATTAGCTGAACAAATTGAATAAAACTGAAGTATGCTGAGATTTGCATTAAAACACGAGAGAATGAATTACTTTGTATGAAATATCTGCTTCTCAATCCTGAAAACTAATGCCTAAAAACAAAGACCCTTTGACATCAAACAGGCTGTTTTTTTAAATTTTATTTATCATTTTAGTTTGACTTTTCTTGTGATTTAGAGTTTGAAATACCTTGATTGACAGCTGGACTTTGAGCTYTCTTCCAGCTCCGTTAAATGAGACTATAGCTGAAGAGTTTGCGGTTTTCTCATCTTGTATTTTCATTTTCCAAATTTGAGTCACGTTCTGCTCATTCTTTCGCAAAAACCATTGCACTGAAGGTCAACCCCAACATTGGCCCAAAACAAAACACACCAAACAGTTCTCAGGTAAATCCTCATGCTATTTTTCATTTGAGAAAATAAAAGAAGAACAAAAGATTGAACGTGGCTGTCATCTGTTTCCTCCTCAGCGGTGTCACTGAAGAAGACAACAGCTTTTCTGACCACATGACCCCTCTGTCTCAACACCGGCTGGAGATGAAGCGAGAGATTGAAAAAGACGACGTGCAGAGTAATGGAAGGTGAAGTGAAGCTCTCTTTTTTTATTTTATTTATTTTTCTTGTTGGACCATCTTTCTGTGACCACGAGGCAAACCTGTGACCAGTGGCAGATTGATGYCTGAGAGAAACACCTTCATTGGCTCTGAGTGCTCCTCCACTAAAGGACGGGTTATAAAAACTAAAAATGTACAAAGTGGAGTTAAAAGCTACTCGTGAACRTCTCTGCCATGAACATGTTTTGTCTATTCTTTGACAACGTTCTCTCTTTATTTTTAAACCGATCTTCCCAAATGTTCGTCCCTTTGTCGGCTCCCGCAGATACCCAAGTTGCTGCAGCAGCAGAATTTGAATGAGCGAGATAAGAGAGGAGAGAAAAAAAAGCAACATAATGGCCCTCATGGCCGCAGATAACAAATATATCCTTTTAAAAAAACTTATTTTTACATGTACTGCAGTGAGAAGAAAGGGAAAAGAGAACCCTCATAAAGAATCGCTCCCACTGGAGATATGAAACCCAATTTATTCACGCTTCTTTGGCTCGACTGAGACAAAGATTGACAACAGAGTGATTTGGCACATCTGTTAATCTTTCTAAATGAGCGAGTTGTCAGATCTTTGCTACGGCCCCTGCACTAAATAATTTACTGCACTTCAGTTTTATTCCATTTTTGTCAACTGTGAGGAGTCCAAATCATTGCTACTGTGCCATGAAGTGTGTTTCCCTTCATATGGAGCCATGCTCATTAAAAACATGCCTCTGGGGGAATGGGAGGAAAGAGAGACACAAAAACACGAAGGAAGGAATATTCATTTCACCATTTGAGCCATCATTCATCACATTGAAGTGACGGCTTTACCTTTAAATATTTTATTGTAAACTCTTATTAAGTTATCATGATTAATCAAGCATCTTTATGTAAAGAACCACATATTGCCAACTCACTCAGGGATGACCATCGAAGCAACTGAGAAGTGGCAAAACGCTTCCTTTTCATCAATCCACGTCACCATTTCCTGCTTCTGAGGCTTTTATTTTTTCCTCCCCGTTTCCTTTTTTTCTCGTAAAATGATTTTAATATTCCATCGACTGCATTTTTGCTGGTCTGCTGAGCAGGAAGCAGACGTTTCTACGAGCGTGTAGCTGTGCCTGGCATTCATCACCAAAAGGTCTGCTCGCAAAACACACACAGAGTTTGTTCTTCTATCCTTTTGAGGACCATGTATTGACTTCCATTCATTTCTGTARCCTTAACCTAAGTGTTACCCTAACCCTGACCCTAACCACCCCCAGTACGTAACTAACTCTAATCAATTCTATAGGTGTTTAAAGTACTTGAAATAAATAAAAGTAAAAGTGTTTTAATAGAAAATGACTTTAGCAAAAATTTATTTCAGTGAGGAGGAAATTATCTAAGCAAAAGTAAGCAAAAGTCATAAAACTGAACCCAGTATTCGAGAAAGAAAAGGAACTTTTACGCATACTCTACGAAACGATATGTGGTATTTACTTAGCCAGGTTACATAAGTTGGTGTGCTCAAACAGCTCCTTTATTTAAATTTGTAACGTGTAATCAGATGTTCAGTGTTAAAGAAGTAAAAGTATCATGTTTATGTTTTGAATGTAACAAAATAAAAGTAAAAGCTGAGATAAAAAAAGACGGTCAAATTATCGATCCTCAAAAGGTAAAGTACTGTGACAAGGTACATATACTTTGTTATGGTTCGTAATAATACTCTGCTCAATTACCATTATAATCCTAAACCTTTCTCATAACTCAAAATCAGGACGTGACTTTGGTCCCTAAAAGGACTACTGATCCTAACCAAGTACCTGTTAACCAGAAAAGGTCCAAAAACCACACACACACACACACACACACACACACACACACA